CAGTTGATAATGTCACATAGCAATATACTGTTTTTGTGGATTGATGTATGTATCTGCTGCTATTACACCTGAATTTCCTGGTGCGGGACAGTAAGGGCTATTTCTATTCTATTCTTAAAAAAATTATTATTATTATTGCTGCCATCAAATCAAAAATATATTATTCTTTATTATTAAACAGTGTCTTAGCTTCAACTTTTGATATTTTACTGTGCTTCATTTAAAATTAAACATGTCTATGAGATTTTCAGAGTTGGGACCTTCATATATTTGAGGGTTTTCTTCAAAAGTGCAAAAATGGATCCAGACAAAACTTTGCACCTTTTTTTTATTTTTATGAATGCCTTTGTGACTCACCAGTGTCTTGTATTCAATCTGCTGGCGGATGAGTTTGTCTTCACTGAGGGAATAGCGGGCCTCTCCTGTGATGGAGTCTATGGGTCCCTTTTCCATTTGCTGTTTGATGGCACAGAACAGCATGAAGAGAGGCTCACCAGCACACTCCTAAGTTTAAGATGGAAACCGGGGAATTGGATGGGTARTTTGGGAGTACAAAGAGCAGGACACAGGAAAGAAATGATGGGAAGGGAAAAAAAGATCTCAGTGACTGGGGCATGCCTTATAAAAAATAAAACAAAATCTATTTTATCACAAAACTGGAGAAATGTTCAACATTGCAGGAAACACTGTGCAACCTTTGTATGGTGTGCACAAAACACGTCAATATTGGACCTTTAAAATCACAGCTACAACACAAGTATACCCAGCAGTCTATTTACAAATCAATGCAAATCATTTTAGGATGCAGAGCCTTTGTGCAGCGCTCTGACACCTGTGGCASATAAGCTGGAGAGAGAGAGGCTTCTTTTTACCTTGAGAAATTTGTGGAGCAAGAAGGCAAACCAATTTGTCAGCATCTTCTCTGCCACCGACTCTGTTCTGCAAGACGAGAAAGAGGCATGCTCATGTTATCAAGAGACGTCCCACTGAGAGCCAGAGTGCTCTGATTACTTTTTCATAATTTTTAGACAATAAGAGCTTAACGGTGTTGAAACTAAAAAGACATRGCCTGAAGAGCTCGCACAATTCTCACTCAGCCACTTGTCTGGAAGGACGCGTGCTTTCACTATAACACGAGTGCCGCTAGAGCACAACATATTTGGGTCATGACATAATTGTGCAGATTACGAGGCCACTTCAGGTCTCTTACTCGCTTCTTTGGATTGCATGTGCCAGGAAAGATGAACTTTGTGGTTTATTGTGTATCGCATCTGAATTTACTGCAGAAATAAGATACAAACCTTATTTKTCTAAGGCTGATCTTAAGCTCACCTAACCTGGTGTCTGTCAAAATAAATTTATTTTTACCTGCATTTCTACCTTAACTTGTTCTGACTTGACTGTTGATGGGATCCTATTAAACTTTTGAGTGTTTGCGCAGGAGAAGCAGGTTTGGCCTAACAACTTCTTGTACTGGCTCCCACGTGAACTCATCCTTATTTATAATGAGCGCGGTTCAAATCGAGCGGAGAGCTCTCTTCCACCCCAAAAATTCTWATGAAACATTCAGCAGGCTGGTCTCAGCACAGGAAAAACAATCGCCAGATAACTAGAGGTGGAAAGGAGGAGAGAAGGAGGCGAGAGAGAAGAGGAGAGGAGGAGAGGTGACGGGAACAGTAACGTGAGCTACAGCTGAATGTTTCATGAGGGGCTCACAGGAGATAAGTCAGACTGACAACAACTGTGCTGCTGCTGCACTCACTCTTCCCCATTAGGTTCTTCCTCTGCCAGTCCCTCCCACTCTCTATCACTTTTAACACTCCTGTCTTTCACATGTCTGCTCAGCCACCCTGTTCCTCCGACTCGTAACCAGTGTTTCACACTGCTGCACAAAACAAAGCTGGAGAGAGGTGGGTTTTTTTTCCTTCACTGCCCCAGTTACTCAGCCATTAGAAGTGTGGTAACTGGACTGGAAAGAACAATGCACCGAGGAATTATCTATGCTAAAAGATAAGCGGCGCTGATCAGAACTGGGTGGGTTTCTGGCAGAGACGTTCTCAAGTTCTCAAGGAAAATATATATATTTTTAAATTAAAAAAACAATAAAATGTTTTGAAATTTATACAAGATTTTGTCTCAAACACAGCTGACGAGCAATCTCTTTACATAATGCTGATTATCCCTCTTACAATGTGGAATTTAAATCAATTTTTAGTTTGTGTATCAATAATACTTKTACAAAAATGACCTCAGATGAATGAAATTAAATGGGAGAAAACCTTTTAAAATTAAAGATTAAATCTAAAATTCTAAAAAATGAAAAGTTTTTTTTTCAAGTAAGTCTCCCTGACCCTGGTCTATTTCTATATATTCTCCATTTTTCATGACTAAATTTCTGCGGTTCACATTCACGCTGCACTTTGTCAAATGAACCAAAACCTGTGGATAACCTGCCCCCCCCCCCCCCACCACCACCTGTGGGGGCACTGCACCAAGAACCACTGAAGGAACTGACAAAAAGAAACCTTATAAGAAGACGTGGAACGCTACTTTCTTCTTCACAAAATGTAAACAAATATGGAATGACGTCAGATTTTAGTGGTTGTAGGATTAATTTTTTTGTTTTGGGCAAATGTGCCAAAGAAATAGTTTTAAACTATGAGCTCAGCATGAGAGGAAGTTAAGGTGGAGAACGTTGTTTTCCACACAAAGTGGCTGAGATGCCTCCATGTAGGGCAGCGTTCACCGAGTAGGAGCATGTCCAACTTCACAGCAGTGTTGTCCACCTTATACAGACATCGAGCGAGGTATTTACAAGATATGAGTAACTTTATTACTATTATTACTCAGAATGACCTGCGTTATAGTCCACTTCCTGCTTTTGGAGTGATCTCTGGTCTGCTTGGTGTTCACACATACTTGAGCTGTGGCTGYAACRTTGTCGGTGCTTCTCGCAGTGGCCAGTGGCCATCCTCGAACTCGGTGGTGGACACCCTGGGTAAGRGAGGCTGTCGAGCTGAAGAAGGAGTCCTATCTGKCCTTGTTGGCTGGTAGGACTCCGGAGGCAGCTGAGGAGTATTGGCAGGCCAAGCAGGCCACAGGCTTGGCCGTTACTGAGGCAAAAGCTCGGATGTGGGAGRAGTTAGRTGAGGCCTTAAACAAAGGCTCTCKATCGGCTCCGAGGAGATTCTGGCAAACYATCTGGCAGCTGAGGCGKGGGAAGCAGCACTTCACTWACACTGTGCTCAGTGAAGGTGGGGTGCTRTTGACCTCAACCMSTGATGTCRTCAGGAGGTGGAAGRAATACTTCTCGGACCTTTTCAATCCCACCAACACGTCTTCTATGGAGGAAGCAGAGTCTGAGGACTTTGGGGCTGGTTAGTCCATAATTGGAGCAGAGGTCGCTGAGGTAGTTAAAATGCTCCATGGCRGCAGGGCTTCAGGGGTGGATGATATCCGCCYTGATTTCCTCAAGGTTCTGGATGTTGTGGGACTGTCCTGGTTGACATGCCTTTGCAACATTGCATGGACATCGGGGGCAGTGCCACTGGATTGGCAGACTGGGGTCGTGGTTCCTCTCTCTTTAAAAAGGGGGACCTGAGGGTGTGCTCCAATTACAGGGGCATCACTCTCCTTAGCCTCCCTAGTAAGGTATTTTCAGGGGTACTGGAGAAGAGAGTCTGATCAATAGTCAAACCTCGGATTCTGGAAAAACAATGCAGGCTTCCTCCTGGCCATGGAACACTGGACCAACTCTTTACCCTCACTAGGATTCTCGAGGGGTCATGGGAGTTTGCTAATCCAGACTACATGTGTTTTATGGACTTGGAGAAGGCATTCAACCRTTTTCCTCAAGGTACACTGTGGGGGGTGCTATGCGAGTATGGGATTGTGGGCCCGTTGTTACAGGCCATTCAGTCTCTATACAAGTGGTGCGATAGTTTGGTTCGCATTGCCGGTAGTAAGTCGGACCCCTTCAGAGTGGGAGTTGGACTCCGTCAGGGCTGCCCGTTGTCACGATTCTGTTCATAACTTGCATGGACAGAATTTCTCGGTGCAGCCATGGGGTGGAGGGAGTCTGATTCGGTGGCCTCAAGTGGAGGAGTTCAAGTATTTTTGGGTCTTGTTCACTAGTGATGGAAGAATGGAGCGTGAGATGGATAGACGGATCGGTGCAGCTTCTGCAGTTTTGTGAACTCTGTACCAGTCTGTTGTGGTGAAGAGGGAGTTGAGCTGTAAGGCAAAGCTCTCTGGTTACCAATCAGTCTACATTCCTACCCTCACCTATGGTCACGAAATTTGGGTAATGACCGAACAAGATCGCGGATACAAGCAATCGAAATTAGTTTTCCCCACAGGGTAGCTGGACTCTTAGAGATAGGGTAAGAAGTCCAGTTATCTGGGAAAGACTCAGAGTAGAGCCGCTGCTCCTCCATATCAAGAGGAGCCAGTTGAGGTGGTTTGGGCATCTAGTAAGGATGTCTCCTGGATGCCTCCCTAGGGAGGTGCTTCAGGCATGTCCAACTGGGAGGAGACCCTGAGGAAGACCCAGGACACACTGGAGAGATTATGTCTCGGCTGGCCTGGGAATGCCTTGGAGTCCTCCCAGAAGAGCTGGAAGAGGTGGCTGGGCAAAGAGAGGTCTGGGCTTCCTTGCTCAAGCTGCTGCCCCCCAGACCCGACTTCGGATAAAGCAGAAGATAATGGATGGTTGAATGGATGGAAACTAGAGTTCGATTAAAGCGGACTAAACAGGGCTGGTGTGAATACACCCTAAATTGTAAATGATTACCAAGAGGAATGAATACTTTTTCCAAAGAGTAATGTAATCTAGCATTTAATGACAGAGTTTTACCTCCGGAGGAGTAGTTTGGGGTGGTTCTTGCTCTCCAGGTTGCGCTCTATGAGGTCTGAGAGCAGGTGCTTGAGGATGTCCGTGGCRTACTCCAGCCGCCCTTGCAGAGCTGTCATGATGAGCGAAGCGACGTAGCCGCGGTCACGCATGGAGAAGGAGCGCTGCATCTCCAGCGTCCGGATGAATGTCAACAGGAAAACCTTATTATTCACCAGCTGAGCAAACTGCTTCAAGGCTTTCTCCACATTGGCCTGTCCACTCCCCGGCACCTACACGCATCATTGGGTTTTTGCACACACACACAAATATGCACACACTCATTAGGTAGTGCTTGCTGAAGGATGAGTCATAACAGATGAAAATCGAGTGGAATATACACAAAAACTCTCATACAACACTTCACATATAGCAAACCAGAATAACTAGTGGCCACAGGCTTTGTGTTGTTGTGAACCAGGACTGGACAGGTCCTGACTTATCTAATCTTGTCATGAAAAAAATGGGTAATTTTTTCTTAGAAAACATATAGCACTTTTAATCCTCCTGAGGGCTTTTTACTTTTATGAAAGAAGGGTCCATTTAGTGCCTTTTTAAATAAATGTGATTATAATAATGGCTGATTAAACCAACTGTTTAGCAACACTAACCAATTTTGATCTTATGTAAGTTTTCCCTCACAAAAAATAAAACGGTCAGGTTTTACCAAACATTAAGCAAAGACTGTGTTAAAKCTAAACCCCTGTCAGAGCCTGTCAGAATGCACTGGAAGAGAACAAAACCGCTTTAAACACAAATGGATGACTTAAAAAACCAACTTCAAACCAGATCTCCTGTCACATTCCTCAGCTTTTGCTGAAACTGTAAAACAAAACTAACCTGAAACAAACACTCTAAACAGCTCTCGCTGTTCTGTTCGACAGCAGCTCTGCTAAAAAGCCAATATCAGTTTAGTTTTGCTCGCGTTGGAGAGTCGAGGTCAAGCCCTTGAAACTGCATCTGAGTGCAGCAGAAGTGCTTCAAAGACTCCTCACCTCCAGCTCTCTCAGCACAGGGTGATCGTCGATGCCGGGGAACAGAACCCTCATGGCGTAAGTGCGATAGTCCAAGAAGGGAATGCCYGCTCTGTCCAGATCACTGGTTAACTCATTGATGTCTGTCTGGAGTTCTGCAAAGGCTTCACATGACAGAGAGGGGTTGAATATTGTGCCAAATACAATGTCCGCAAAATTAATTGTAAATATGCAACCCTTACTTTATCACCTAAACATGCAAGAAAAGAAATGATCTTTTGCTAATTTACTGCGATAATGTTAGTCTTTTAATCAACCCAATGGACAGTAAGCTATAACCAAAAGGGGGWAATGTCACATTAGCTTCAACTAGATGGGACTAGTGACATTTTCAAWAATAAAATGTGGGATTAAATAAACARGTTTTCAAGATTTTCATGTCTCTGATCTTTCTTACCTTCTTTACACTCAAGAGCAACTCTGGACTCCAGATTGTCCATCTGCATCTGCAGGCGTTTCAGAGTCAGGTCATTCTCATGTGACTTGCGTCTGTAGGCCAGTAAGACGATGATGACGATGATGAGGAGCAGCCCGCCTCCAGCTGTGATGCTGAGGATAGCAGGGAGGGTCAGCAAGCTGTCGGATCGGATGTGAACTTCTCCTGGAGAGATGTGAAGTCCCCCTACTTGGACCTAGATGATAGACAATACAGGCACAATCAGAGTTAAAAATGATTCAATGAACAAAACAAAAGAGGAGAACCTGTACTTTTAGCAAAAATGGCAATTGAATGTKAAATTACTGTTGAAGAAGCTGAAATCAAGGTTTTACAGCTAAAAAAGTAGCTAAAAAAGCAAAACATCCATCCATCCATCCACCCAGCCATCCAACCACCTATCCAGCCAGTCATCCATCCATCCACCCAGCCAGCCAGCCAACCATACATTTAACCAACCACCCATCCATCCAACCATCCATCCATCCAACCATCCATCCTTCATCCATCTATCCAACCATCCATCCATCCAACCATCCATCCATCCAACCATCCATCCATCCATCCATCCATCCATCCACACTGTTTCAAATGGATACACTGAAAAAAGCAATGCAAAATATAGTCTAAAAGTACAAAATTGCTAGCTAAAATCAGCAAAACGTTAGCTAAAAGCTAAGAGTAGCAAAACAAAAGCAGAACAAAACAGGTAAAGGAGAACAGTAGCTAAAAGCTAAAAATAGCACAAGACAAAAGTAGAGCAGGCATGCTGAAGCAAACTGAAAGAGAATAAGTTTCATAGAAACTGAAAAAAATCTCTATTTATTTCACTGGGGAAAATATTCGTAAATAGCACTAAAATATTTTAGAAAATTATTAAATTACAAAAAATAAAAAATTCACAACATCCATCATCTAAATGAGCAGAACATTTTGATGTAYGGATGACCACAAAGGCACAACATAGGCAGGAAAAGTGAGGCTGCTAAAAACGTTCAGAAACATAAACAGGAAAACAAGTGTGAATCAGCCCACACACAATCATTAAAACAAAACTCATAATTAAGTGGGTGGTTCTTCATTAAAATCATGGTTGCTGAGGATAAATATTTTAAAGTTGTCAAAATGACTTAAGCTGGCTTTCTTCTAGCCCTTTTTGTCATTGTTTGCTAGACTGCCTGTCAATATTCTGGAGGACAATTTGCTRTAATGGGGAACCTACCGGACCATGAGTGACAGACAATGACAGAAAGCCAGCGACTAGAATGCCCGTCAGTGACCCAAAAACAAAGTGACGTAAAGACAAACGCTGACCTACAGAGGGTGACCCACATTTATGCAGACAAAAAGACTCACAAAACCCTTAAAAAACAGAAAACGGACAGTTAAGCGTGACGTTGGGACTAACCAGGACTTTRTGTTGCCCTGTGAGGTTTGGTGGCTCGCAGAGTAACTGAGTATCAGACACAGTAAGAGAACAGGGCAGGTCTCCGATCAGCACCGTGTAATTAAGCCTCGCTCCACCAGATGCAGATGGCACCAAGTTACGTCCCTGCAACACACACAAGCAAGCAACACAGTTTAACATTTGAACAATGCTAAATGGTGAAAAAGAAGCTTTAAACAGAACCGTTGTTTGCTCTGAAATTTTACACCATTTCTTTCAGATCAAATATTTAACTTAAACCATGATGCATTAGTGAAATATCTAAAAAATGATCTATAAAATAGAACTGCAAGCAGCCAGATCTGRTGCTGTGTTATTCATAGCCATACAGTTCCAGCATGCAGGAAAGCTTCTAAATAATTTTCAAGTTCCTTTTAAGGCTCAAACCAAAATTTCATGCCTTTTCACCATGACGAAACCGAGCTAAAGAGTGAAGTTCCTTTCAGTGACACATGATGTAAARAGAGCACATCAAGTGGAAATCCTTTCACTAAGTCAGGTAGAAATGTTGTCTTTTTTCAGTAAAAAGCATTTATTCACAATAGAGAAGTTTTAAATTTGTGYGAATAAACACAAAAATATTCAGCATTTTATTTAAAATAGTTTCTTTATAATTGCATCATTTACAATCTGAATTTTTGAGGTCAGGTCTTCTGTGACGTACTTTGAGAATGATTGGAGCTCCGGGTTTCTGCTCCAGAACACCTGAGAGGCTGAGGGGCTCCAGGTAAGGGTTGGGGTAGTAGACGAAGCCCGTGTTGTTGTACGTTAGCAGAGCTTGAACGTTGTTGAAGACGAAGCCAAACTCCTCCACGTGCTTTATTGTCTCCTGGTCCGTGGTGTACTCGGCCTTCAGGGACGGGGCGAAGCAGCTGATGGTGGTTGTGTTCAAAACTTTGCACACCTGGAGAGGAATCAAACCAGTGAAGTCTAATTTACATATTC